TGCTCACACGTCGCCACTCGGTAGTCTATAATTGTATGATTTTCCTCAAGTCTCTCCCTGCACTCACACACTTTTCTTTCATTATTCTTTTTCATGCAAACAAGCTAACACACACACACACACACACACACTCACGCACACACCTCTATTCCTCTGCTGCATCTTCCCCTCCTCACCCTGTCCAAACATACATCTTTATCAAGCGGCTGTTGTCGGACAACATTAGATAATTAATAGGCCATTTGTCAGGCCTGTGAGAAACATGTTAAAATCCCCGAGCAGCTCCCCAGATAAATCCTGCCGCGCACACGGACCCCTTTGTTGTGTCAGCCTGCCGTCGGAGGCTGCTACACATTTACCATTAAAGGACCCTCATTATTAATCACAACTAATGCTAATTAATTAGATGTCCGTGTGTGTGTGTGTGGAAAGAGGGTCCAGCTCTGAGTTTCATTTTGTCGTGCGATGTTAATTGGTAGCTCGACGCGGGTCCTTTAATGGAGTGTTTTCCATTTAGAGCAGGGAGCAGTCGACGAGCGTAAGGGTGAAAAAATGAAGACAATGCTCTCATTAATTAGGACTGTGTAAAGAGCCCTGCTCTCGGTAATCTCTGGCGTGTGTGTCTGTGTGTGTGTGCTTGAACAGTCTGTACAATGAGTGCATGTATGTGAGAAAAATGGATGTGTAAATTTGTGAATTTAAAAGACTGTTTTGTACTTATTTAATGCACTTTATTTTTTAGCTTTTTTAAGTCTGAATAAAAGTATTCAAACAGTAATATGAAAGTTTATTATTATAGGATATTGCTGCATTTTTTCCATTTTAAAATAATTTGAATTCAGCTTCAACCTGATGATTTTTTCTTTTTTTCTTTAGTGGATGTTCTACAGTTGGAAAAATAGAAAATGGCAAAGACAGCAGCATCGACAAATTTTGTAAATGTAATTGTCTTTGGTTGGAGAAATGAATGGTGGACAACGGGGACTGTACACAGCTACCCAACGCCAGCAGTCTTTGTGGTTGGTATCACTCAGCACCACAGTCACCCCGAAGGACCCGCGTACCAAAAGACTCCCTAAAAGCGACGCTAAGGCCTCCATTAAGCACAAAGACAGAGTTAATTAGGGAGCTTATTGCCTCTCCCGAGGGCACGGGGCTCCAGACGCTCTCCCGTACACCCTGCTGAGGGAATGCAGGCACAAACTGCTGCACTGTAATTAACTGTGCTTAGCAAATCAACAGCAGCCATTTTCTGTTTGGCAGTCGCTGTAAGAGCGTTAAAATGAGCTAAACTAAAGATGATTATTTTGGTTTTTTTTCTTTTGAATTTAGTCACAATGACTTGTCTCTCAGATGTCTACGCCTACGTTCCCCCCTCGGGGCATCCGCATTTTTCAGGCGAACAAATCAATACGCAACAGCCCCCTCGACCCCCTCCCACAAATTATGAATCCTCCAAACAGTTTCTTAGTTGATTTAGCAGCAGAAACCAAGACAAAGGGTTTACCTTCCCCGTTGTTCTGGATCTTATCTGTACACTGCGAAAAGCTCGGGTACGTTTGGGGAAAGTTCACATGCTTGTCCTGGTGTAGCGATGGGAACAGGAGGAGGAGGGATGATGAAGAGTTCAGTGTCCCAATGTGGATGTAATGACTAATGAAGGGGATCATATGTGATTGTGTTTGACCCGCGATACAAGGGTAAGCCCCCCCGTCCCATTTGTCTGTTATCACAGGCAACAAATGATGTCCACCGATAGGCACGGCGAGCCAGTCCTCGAGTTCATTTCCATATTTCATGATCTAAGACCCCATCAGTCAAATCTTAGAGCTCTCTCGGGTTAAATAGACGAATAATGTTCCCACCTTACACGTTACAGTGGTCTCGCCCTGCTCGCTCTGTGCATCATACGCAGAGATGCAGCGAAGGACCTGGCTTCCATAAACAAATAGTTAAAATCAACCGGGTTATGTGAGGATACAAACAGAAACGGCAATACATTTTTTAAACAATGTGATGTTAAAATTTCGAAAAGATAATCCTGCCTTCAGATAAGCTGTGTGGTTGAGTTTACCTGAATCAAATAAATAAATAAATGGCTTAATGGAGCAAAAGAGAGATGACGGACAGGGATGCAGAAAAAAATGAGAGGGGGGCGTGCAGGAGGGGGGCGGTGGGGGTGGGGGGGGGGGTTAACTATGTCCACAGGTAGGTTATTTCTCTCTGTAAACATATGTATCCATTTGTCCCGTGGGTGCGTCCCCTCGGCGTCCCGTCGGCAGCGGCTGGGTCACACCTCCATTAAGGGCTTTGTCACAGTGATTAATAGCCCCTTCTATCATCTTTAATTCACTCCCTGATGATGGCGGCCCCCGCTCGCTGCTCGGGGTAATCGTGTGATGCATGAGTCCGCCCAACACCTCGTGGCAGAGGTGAAAATCATTCCACCCATGCAGATAGCAGGCCGGGGGAACCAATGTTTTCCCTCCTTAATAAAAATTAATGAATTTGCCGTCAAGCGCGAGCATTTAAATACACATTCATGTGCATGTACGAGCGTATCTGTGCTTATGCGACGTGCCGGGATGTAGTTTGTGTTCTCCACACAAATTGAATTGATTTTCAAGGGGAGATAAAAACCGTTTTCCTCATTATTTTTTGCACTGAATCTTTCATGCTGACTTTCAGATACGTCGGCATCAAAGTTAAGCTCTTTTTTTTTAAATTGTATTTGACGCTTTCTTTTTCTATCACGATGTATCATCTCTGCTGATAATGTAGTTGAAGTCATGGTGCTGCTCCCAGCTGGAGTTCCCCTTCGCTACCCAGAATTCCTTTCGACATCCCGCTTTGATGAAGGGGCGTCAGCTTGCAATGATGAAGTAATGTCCATTACTGAACAAACAAACAGGATTATTTTAGACTGAGACACCCTGTTACGCACACAAACACACACACACACACACACACACACATCAATCCGCCCCACAAGTACAGCTACTTTCTTTGACTTAGAATAAAACCACGATTCTTAAAAGTCTATCATATTCATTTTTCTACCAACGTTTACCTTACAGAAACATATATGTTTATGAGTTGAAATGGAGTCTATTGGACCGGGGGAAGTTCTGGTCTAACTCAAATATAAACTTTGAGACAAGTGTAGGGGGGGGAAATGTCAAACGAGAAACGGCAATGGGGGGATACAGTTACCTTTTAAAAGCCCTTGCCCCTCGACCATATGGCAACCTTCACATCCAGGACTGTGACCGTGCTGAAAATCATTACCTTGACTCCACATTGGGTTTCATGCCGAGCTCAGCTCAGCAAAGTCTTTAAAAGACATTCCCCTAAAACTTGCAAGGCCCACACATTGTGTGTGTCACATAGACACTGAGACCAGGTAGGAAATGACTGAAAAATATACTTATAGATGTGGATTGACAAACACACGAGTGCATAACACAGAAAAGGCAACCAGAAATTAGCATTAAACAGCTGATTCAGCGTCCGTTCATGCATAACCTGCAGAGGTAAACTGCTCTCAACTACTGTACCTGTAGTTGACAGTTTTTAAATTCCTTTTCACCGGACATTGTGCTTTGACCTTACACATACTTTGAGTATCCAACACACATGGCTTCTCTTGTTCTTTAAGTAAAAAGGGAAAGGCTGTGGCGTTTCTTAAGGTGAGAGCAGACAAAAAAAAGACTTCCATGACTTTGTCCAGGTCTTGAGTTAATCTCTCAGGTTAGTTTATGACCACCTGTGGCCAATCACTGTGAGCCGTTCGGTCAATCAGAAGCCCGGTTACTTCATGGCCAGTGAGCAAAAAGTGTGTGTGTGTGTGTGTGTGTGGATCCGCATGGATCAAAGGTTCCACGGCTGACAGCGCAGCGGTACAGTGTCACACCGGCAGCCCTTTAGGAATGTTCCTGGGCCCGGGGATGGGTTGTGGAGCCTCATTAGCAGAGCCCCCTCTCCCCGCGGCCTGTCAGCCCGCGTTAGGCGCTGCCCACCTCGGATGCACGCTGGGGGAGCTGCAGCTTCCCGGGAATCATTTCCGGCTTTGAGTGTCTTTCCGTCTCCCCCCCCGTGTGACACCCGGCTGGCAGCCTGTCGTGCTAGGTGGCTGCTTGGTGACCTGTCTGGTCGTGTGTACGTGAACTTGTCTTTCTCCCTGTCCAACTTCCTTTGCATGGAAATGTATCCGTCTTTGTGATTACTGGGCTCCCCGTCCTCCTGTTTAGGAGAACAATGCCGCTTTGCTCCACCTGCACGCTGTGTCAACACCGCGAATGATTCAATCCCTCTTCCTCCATTAAGCTCCAGCAGCCACGTGTGCCATTCTGAAGAAGCCCAGTGTGGGTTCAAGGGTTGTGCATCTATGTCCTGTTTAACTCTATTTGCAATTAACCCCAGCATGCTTCCCTCTGTTTGCACTGTACAGTGGAGAAAGAGTCCAGGAAAAGGAAATATAAAACAGTCAGAGCAGTACAATGCCGAGCAGACCTTGCAAAGCCACCTTGGCATCAGCTCAAACGACGACAGACATGCCGTGTTTTTGCTGCAGGTTGTTTTGTTTCAGATCAAAACGCCGAACATATCAGGTGTCATTTAGAGATTTCACATGAGTTTAAATGTGTCCGTTGGGTTTTTCCTGGGCCAGGGGCATACCCAATGATTAGATATAAGAAAAACATTGACATTAGGAACAAGTGTGCTCCGGTAATGCCCCCTTGTCCTTATTATTACTGAGCTCAATGGAAATGGAATGAAGTCTTTGTCACATGACAACCCCCACATGTTGTTATTGCCTGTCTGCCGCTAACTGATGCAGTTATTATATGTACACTTTGAATGCTTCACCCAATAGTTGGTACTTTCAGGAACTTGTTACTTGGCATCGGAAAGATAACCTGCCCTTCTTAACGTAATCCATCCATCACGATGATAATCCCGAGCCTGGCCCTCACGAAGAGACTCTCTGTGTTCCACAGGTGACTGTGACGACGACTTTGCCCTCTACCCATCCGACATCTTAGACGATGTATGCGGCTCTGATGTCGATCCCGCGCCTTCTTCGGCCCTGGCAGAGTACCCGCCGTCCCCTCTGCTCTCGGAGGACGAGGCTTCACCCCAGCACCCCTTGTCGTTCCAACACCCGGGCATCTTTTCGCCCCAAGAGGAGCTGACCACCCCCCTGGACTTTGAACTGCGAGAGTCGGCAGTCGCGGGCGGGGGCCTGGGCATCTGGAGCCGCAGGAGGGTGAACGTCGGCGAGCGCTTTGGACCATATGAAGGAGAGCACACGCCTCGTCTCCGAGACCCGACTCAAGGCTGGGAGGTAGGAACGCGATGAGCGGAGGAGGGTTTTATTCCAGGTGGCATCTTACAGTAAATGATTGCGTAAAAGAACTCGGTACCTTCACACACACAGATGACTAACATAAGAAATGTTTCAATAAGCGCACCGCAGACAATCACAACAAGAAAACAGTCTTTTCCTAATTTTACAGTGAAAACCTCAATGGTTTTTGGTTGGATCACAGTGCAGGTGGGATAAATACATGTCATCTACTTATTGCAGCACCTTAAGCTTTAGTATGAACTCCAGGATCTTCTGACCAATACAAACTGTAGCATTCACATCAGATATATATATATATATATATATATATATATATATACATATCCTGCCATGTCGTCATGCTCACATTCGGCCTAGTGACCACAAGGCTCTTGTTGCCGTTTGTTGCCTGGTGATGTAATATGAGCTCAGTGCCATTGAGAGAAAAGGAGTCTAGATTGTGCTCTTAACTCAATTAAAATAAAAAGCCATAAATCCCCTGTTCATCCTGGTTAGGGACCCAGCGTGGCCATCGGCAAATCACATATTGGTCGGCCGGCACAAAAAATCGAAGGTAAGGTCACAGGACAAGGTCAAAGGTTAGATGTGGTCTCCCTCAGTGTCGTGCTACTTCTGTTTTATGGAGTAGGAGGAAGGCGGCTGGCAGAGTATCAGCCTCATTAAGTCTCCCGAAATAGATCCCCTCTAATTTGGATTGTGAGGATTTAGTCGTTCATCTCAGTCCTTTTGTCCCTTTGTAGGAGAAAACCAAGCTTATTAAGGACTGCTGACCGTGCACTTCATGAAGTGAAGAGTCACGGCTTTCAATAAAAAAGATGATTCAATACAGCAGTCCTTCTCTAACCGCAGTTTGCCAAACCATTAAGTCCATTTCGATGCTGTGCTTAAAGCTGACTGAGAACATGTTGGTAAAGTATCAATATTCGGCTCATATAAATAGTTTGGGATTTGGACTGCTGCTCGTTGGGTTTGCGTCATAGATCATTACCCGAGCCCCTCTGCTCTGACTCAGTGGTTTTGGCTCCTCAAAACAGTTCCAAAATAAAAATCTTTCTTTTTTTTCACTCCGGATTACATTTCTCCAAGAAACAACTTCACCCGTATTATATATTTATGCATCTTAAATGTCTCTTGAATTGTAGTAAGGAAAACTTCTCAATTATGCCTTCTCATAATATAGAGTCATAATAAAAGATCTCTATCTCTCTCTGGGAGATTTACAGTTGGTGGGGCAAGCCTCATGGGTTATTCTTTTTCCCAGAGACAGAAATAAAGGAAAAGGAGGTCTCATGAATTTTAATCCGGTGGTAATTTATGGGGATCTTGAATAATAATATTTATTTAAAAAGCTGAGGAGCTGGGATATGAGTGTGAATGTGTGTCGGGGAGCAGGCGGTGGGGAGGGAGGTTGAAGGGGGGGAAAATTGGCATCCTGTGAGCCACCACTGTATCACATTGTTTAATTCCCTCCCGACCAGCGACCCATAACTCTTTCCATTAGGTAATATAAGTGGTAAAGATTTTGGGAGAAAATCCCACATTATTCGAAAGAGATATCCAGGGAGACCCTCCTCCTGTATAAAATAGGGAAAATGCCTTTAAGCCCTCTAAACCCCCCCCCCCCCCCCCTCTTCTCCCATGCCCACCCGTTCACCATCCCTCATCCGCCCCCCTCCACTCCCATCTGCAAACCGTCAATATGCCAATAAGCCCGCGGAGGGTCTGTAAAAACAAAATTGATTTGGTATACGTGAGTTAAGACAGATTTGTTTGCTTTCATCATCAATTCCGTGCGGCGCATAGCGAGGTGATGTCACCGGCCGCCGAGCGCTAAAGTGGAGCTCCCATCTGGAGCGTTTGATGGAGGGCCTTGAGCAGCCCAGGCCAGTGGTGACAGACTGGGGGAGGTTTGTCACCAGGGGGAGGCCACCGTTCCTCGGAGCCATCACCATAAATTTGGGGGCTTTATTCATAAAGGGGACACGTGAGTTATGGCATCCATGATGCTTTATGAATACAGGAATGGTGACTTATGGGAAAGATAGGTCCGGTAAATAAGAGGTAGAGAGGCAGGTCTGCTGCGCTGCGATGCTCTCCCACGCTGCAGAACCAGAGTGCTGACTGTGCCAGTAGTCATGAGGCTCGCTGTCTGAGTGTGCGTGCAGCTATTCCATGTGTTTGTGAGCTGTTAAGGACTTAAGAATTTGGTCGATTGCCAGATGTAATCTGTCAGTACGAACAATTTATCACATCCCAACCTCTTCACTGAAGATTTACTGTCAGTTAAAGAAATGTCAAAGTGAAAATAGACTTAATTAACTCATAGGATTGATGAACACGCCTTTATTTAATTATCAAATAATTCAATATTTAATGAATAAATAATAAAAAATGTAATAAATAATGATTAAGTATTTAATAAGGAATTCATTTAATCTAATTAGTATTTACAACAGACCAATCAGGAGAACAATGGGATTTTAAAAATAAATTTAAGAGTTGTTCCCATTTAAACCCTGGTACATATCCAGAACAAAGCTGATTTTATTACTAAAGTTTAGCACGTGGACTGAGTTTGAATTCATTAAACAGGAAGAAGTTTGAATAATAGTGGCTATACTCCTTTTCTTTTCGTAGCCTTTTATTTGTAATTTCACTCATGTGATATAAATAAAAATGATAAAACATGACCTATAAAATATTGCATTCCAACTTCCATGTTTGGGATGAGGTGGCCGGCTCTCGACCACAGTATTTGCATGCATTCACCCAAGGCCTCCTTCAGAGAACTCTTAACGCCTGGATGCCCACCAGTCCATATTCTGCTGTCTCTCTCTCTCTGAGTCAGCCACATTGAAATTCAAACTCCATTTGTGTCTGTCTTCTTCTCAGCAGCGGCAACAATGAGACGGAGGGTTAGAGTCCGGGAGAGAGTTATCCAGCACTCAATGAGCCTTTGGGCTCTCCCAAACTCACAGCCCCACGGGATTATGGGTCCTGGGCTTAGAAAAGTGGGCGCCTCCTGCTGTAGAAGCGATGGGCGGGGCAGGTTAGGGGTGCGAGAATGGGTGGGATGGTGAGCGGGGCGGGACAGGGGCGCTTTAGGGCCTTTTGTGCACCTCTTGAGTGAGAGGCGGAGGTGCAGGTGGAGGCGATAGTGTTGGTGGTGGTGGGGAGGTGGTGAAGGAGATTAGCAGTGATAGTGAATGGGAGTGGAGGATTAGGTGGCTGGGCAGGGCCTTTCTTGGCTCTGCCTGTCTCCTGAACCTCCCGGTCTTGAGAGGATGGGAGGATGGAAGGAGGCGAAGCAGCTGCCTGGCCTGGAGGACATCCGCGATTTAAACTGCTGTCAGCTGGAAACCTTGCATTTTCTATTACTCTTTGAATATTAGATTACTCAAAAAAAAGAAAAAAAATTGCGATGGAACTTGAGCTTCTGGAGCCCGTGGTTATGGTGCCAGCAGGTGATTACAGAACTGAGCTAACATGTAGCGTTCAGGCAACTGCAGTTCATCTGTAGCTACTTTGTTTTGTCTTATATAGTTGCAGACAGCGTGAACTCTGGGTAAGGTCGATTCTGGTATCACGGTGCGCGCAGACGCTCTTGTGTGTGCATGCGTGTGAGACAGAGTGTGAGAGCGTGGATTGAGGGCGTTTCGAGAGGGCGTGTTTCTCCGTGCACGGATAAGCCGCTGTCCCCGAATGAATGCAGATGTCTCTGGCTGGCTGTCCGCCGGTCCCCTGTGCGCTGACGGCCTGTCACCTCTCTCTGTCACAGGGAGAAAGAGCCACTCTCGGTCCTCCGAAAAGCCCCCTAATCCCCGAGCCCCAGCCACATCCCATCCACTGTCAGCGGAGATGGCCTCGCCCACAGCGGCGCTTAGAAAGGCGGGCGCTAGGGATGAACCCCTCTGTCACTCACCCACCTCTCAATGGACACACATATTCACATTTTCACTCACACATATAGCTTTTTTTTTTTTTTTTTTACAAATTACTGGGTGAAAAAGACGTGAATGGCGGTCGTCAATGCATTGTGCAGAATGAACACAACGGCTGCGCTCACACCATCGTGGGACCTGTTCTCTTTCACGAGAAGAGCACTAACTAGCGGCCGAGACACTGCCTGTAATTATGATGCACGCACTTGGGTTTCATTGGCACTTAATGAATCGTAATGGGGACAATAAAGATCATTAAACTCTGTTGTGTGTGACCGGATAGTTTAAGGAGAAAAATGTGTCTGCGCGTAGATGGAATGTTCCGGACAAGAGAGTTGAATTGTGCTGCGGAGGAAACACATGGCCTTTAATTATACCTTCTTTAATTTTAAATACAGCTACCCTTCTGAGCTGCGTCGGACCAGTAGTTGGGACGCGATTGACCTGAGGTTAAGTAACTGCTGCGGGTGTGGGCTAAAAGCAAATATGCTCATGGGCTCAGGAGTTTGGAGGGACTTGAGCTAAAAACAAGGCTTATAGTGTGGAACACCAACTTGGCCGAAGAGGTCTGAGGCCGGAGGGCGGACTTGCAGGGAAGTGGGTTTTCACCCGTTTCCATAGCTTTAATGTTTTAGTGAAGTCTTTAGCAGTTAGCATTGATATACATATTTGTCTGGCTATTGTGTTATATCAAACTCAATCAATCAATATTTGAATTCCATCATATCTTTCATGTAGGATCAACGTAGTCGCCTATGGTGTCTAACATACCACACAAGTGTGTGTACTGAACTATGGATTAAAACCTCATGACCACTTTTAGATCAGTGAAAGTTTGAAGAGCGATTGCTTGACAACTGATTAGTTGAATTGGCCCCGGTCCCGCTGAGTAAATATAACGTGCTTAACCTGCTGTGCTACCCAAACCCCCCTGGCCTCACACATCCTTCACATGGTGCAGAGTGTGCAGCCCCAACGCGCCTTCAGCCGCGTGCGTCTGTGTCTGCTTTTGTCCCTCCTGAAGGCCGCGAGGGA